ACACACACACACACACACACACACACACACACAAACACAGACGCAGTTCCCTGTAAAACCACTTTGCCATTTCCCGTTCTTCCAAATGCACTAAGCCTATAATAATATACCTCTTATTGTTTTTGTGCAGGTTTAATGCCAAGTGAGCACAAACAGGTCATCATCATTTCGAAGGTGGAAGCCGAGAGGCAAAGTTATGATGGTGTATCTTCTGCTCGACGGACCGACAGTCGACAAATCGGCATGACAGAGTGCAGGGCAGAAGTTAAAGAGAAACGACGCAACCATAAAAACCTGACGTGCACAATTAGCTATTGTTAATACGCTAGTAGACCTACCCAGCTTGGTGGGTGTACAGTTTTTGTTATCGTTGTCTTCGCTTTCGAGGATCTTAATATTCAAAGACAAGGTTACTATTCACCCCAGGGAAGTGGAACTACACTATCCAGCTTGAGTTCCTATTCATCACACTTGGCTAAAGACGATTAAATTCAGTCGAGTCTGTTTGCCTCAGTTCAAGCGCGCAAGTTCTTTTCGGTTTTGTTTTCTTATCTACTTATTTCCTCTCTCCATTCCCCCCCCCCTCAAAAAAGCAAGCAAGCGGGAAACAAAAACATCACCAGAAGTAAAAGTAATACATGTACAGGTAACGGCATCAGTATCGGCAATACCAGCGGCGGCAACAACAATAACCTAAACAAGAAAAGTATAGCTTCTTGGGGGGTTTTCATGGATAGATCCAGCGTCTGTTCCATTCTTATAATTTCTCGTAGTTGTTTTGTTTGTTTGTTTTGTTTTTCGTTTCATTTTCTCCGTACATGAAGACTTATATATATATATATTTTGTTGATGAGTTTATTTCATATTCAAAACGAACAAAACAGCACAAAATACCGCTAACTAAATAAAAGCAACTACAAAACAGCAACAACAATAACAACAACAACAACAATAACAACAACAACAACAACAACAACAACAACAACAACAACAACAACAACAACAACAACAACAACAACAACAACTGCAGCAGTAGACACGAGAATCAGAAGAACACCCTGGCTAGCTTTAAGTCTTGATTTATCGATCTGTGCATGATTGACTATCGATCTCACACCGATGCTCAGTGAAGCCTGATGTGTTGACATGTAGGTTTAACTCCATGAGAGAATAGCCTTGCCCGGGGCTAAATTGCTTCAATGAATGTACAACTGATACATGAACTGCAATTCCAGGATTCAATCCCTGTAGAAGGTTGAAGAAAAGTTTAAATCTTGGGGGAGGGGTGTGGGGGGCTGACGGTTGTCAATGCTACCTGTCTAATGCTCGTGGTTCGCACAATAGCCCAGTGTTTCTTATTGTAAATCAATAAGTCTTACTGCCGTCAAAATACAAAATATAATGCAAGGAAATAGAGGAAATAGATAAAGGCAGACAGAGAGAACACAGCAAAATGAAAGAAGTAAAATCTGTATCACAGCTGCTGCCAACACAGCGTATTACATTACAAGGGGGAAAAAAGAGTAAGCAATAGACAACACGCGATGGTGACTGCAGAACACTGTTTCTCACGAACCATGACACTACAAAACGAGGAAGGGATGAGGATAGCAACATTACGTAACTGAATTAAACATTCAGGATACATTTTTCAAGGAAGAAACAGCTACAAACAAAGAAAGGAAAGTTGGTTGGTGGTGAGAGGGCGACAACAAAATAGTCTAACTTGATTATCCGATACACATTTTATTTTATACTGTTTATCACGAGAAGCCAAGCTGACAATCTAAAAAAATTAGTTTAGGAATTCTAGTTCTCAAGCGACAAACACATCCCGATAACAATGCACACAACGGCCTTGTAGAGAAGTAGAAGGCCGGCGTGGAGTGTACCCCGAGTGTTGACACAGCGAGACCTGGACTCGGGTGTACCTGGAATGCTGAGGGCCGGGAAAAGCGCAAGACACGGGAGTGTCCGCCTGGATGAAGTTGACTAGCCTAAGATGAATGACAAATAGTTATGACTTGCAAATAACCGTGAAGAAATTAATACTTTTTACTCACGATGAGTCGGCAAAACAGCAACAATGCCACTTTAACATAACAGGCAAGTATTTAAGAAAAGCATAGAAAAGAAGTGGATGAAGAAGAAAACATCGAGCTTCCAACAACCACGCATACCACTGAACTCTGGCAGTATTGAAGAATCTAAAGTGGCGGGGCTTGCGGAAGAAAATGAGAAAAGAGGAAGAGGGGGGGGGGGGGTTGGGGGAGAATACGACTGGTTTATTTGCTAAACAGAAAAACTCGTGCTTTCGGTTTGCGATATTTGTAAAAAGTGAGATAACATTGCATTAAAAAAACACATCACCGCATCAGACAAAAACATTCCATCGGCACGCAGAGACCCCCAGGCTGGCTGCCGCTACGTTCTATGAACAACAGAACCTAGACTAAACCAAAGCAGAACAAATTATGTTAGTAAAACAGTGAAACCTAAATCCGAACATATTTTGGTCGTCCACGTTATTCTTGAAATTTATGACTGAATATACATGAAAAAAGGAATGTGACGCGGGGGAAAAAAAGGGGGGGGGGGGGGGGTGTTTAGACCTTCTGCACACAAGCAGGTGAAAGAAATACATTGGTTTCATAAACTTTGGAGGATTGCGTCTACTGTATTTCCTCTCTACTTCGTGGGTCTGAAAACGTGCCACAGGACAACAGTTCAGCCTCTTCTTCAAAACAGCTTTGTGTCAAACTTTGACAGAAACAAAAAAACGAACAGTAATGAAGGAGTACAAAGGGCGCAGGATGCAACTGGGGCTTAAATGACAAAGGCAGCTTTCAGTCTGCAATGCCATCTGGACACAACCTTACACAGAATTTAACTAACCAACCTGTCCACTAAGTATTCGCCTTTGTCAGACCGAGATAACGGAACGATATCAATGCATCTTTTCCCGACAAAGAGGAAGAAGTGGGACAGAAACAAGAGAGAAGCCACAATCGTAGGACCTATCAGTGGCACCCTTCAAACGCCCGCTCTCACTAGTCTGTCAAAGTCTCGACCTGCTAAAAATATTCCGAGTATATCTTTTAAACAGCCCACAGAACAGATAATGTTCGAAAACCATCAATATGCATGTATCACATAAAAGGTAATTGCTTAATTTCCCAAAAAGCAGTGGACCCTATATTTTGAGCAGAGAAATTATGTTACCAGGACTACACAATTTTAACTGCATTGATTAACTGTCCTGTTGACAGCAACACAGAATAGAGAAAGAGCCAGATCATAAAGTATACATTTTCCACAAACAGCGCTCTCCCAAAGAACTCCACTGGAAAGACCATCACAGCATATAAGGCCTTTTAGAGCATTTGCATACTGTGCTTTTGTTAAGATGTGAACTAAATACAGAAGGCTGCAATGTGTGTTGCTCTAACACAGATCATAAAAGAAGTTGAGGACGTAATGCAGCACACTACTGCGACGCATATTTAATATATGGCAAGCAAACCACCCAAGCAGAACACAGTCGTCCCCGTCGTTCTCAGGTTCGCCAAGCATCTTAGTATATTCTTACTAGATGTCATTGAAAGTTTCCCTTGGGAGAAACTGCCGGGCCTGGTGGACCCAACCAAACACCCCAGCACATTCCACTGAATAGTTGGGTGAGTCTTAAAAATAAACATTGCCACTGAGAAAATAAATTATGCTTATCACATTAACAGAAAGCTGACATTAAAAATAAATGTTAAGAAAGAATGTTTTTGATAAGCATTTACGAGAAGCACTATCAGAGAGAGAGAGAGTGCCGAGGAAAATGATTGATAACAGAAGGAGGGAAAGACAGACAGACAGAGAGTCTTATCTAAGAATATAAAAAATACATTAAATTGTACTTCAATAGCATAACGGTTCAGTTGTAACGGATAATACAGGACAGACTGAACAAGACGAGAAAAATAAAAGAACGAGCGAGCGAGCGAGCACGTGAAAGAGTGGAGATCGGGTGGAAGAGGAGAGATAAAAAGAGGCAGAGAGAAGAAGAACGAGAGAGAGAGAGAGAGAGAGAGAGA